GGCAGGTGGGGGCCGGCGGGCGGGGCAGCGGGCGCCGGTCGCCCGAAGTTACCTTCCTGTCCGGCCTGTCCCCTCCCTGCCCAGGGGACCCCTTCAGCAGCGATCACTGCTGGCTTCCCGGGGGGTCCCCCAAATGCCGTCCAAGCGGAGGGTGCAAGTTAGCTCCTGCGGCATCGGGACTAGCGGGGAAGGCACAGAGGACTGGGTCTGTGTGAGCAGCATCAGCTGCTCGGTTTTCAGTCCGTCCTGTATTTCCTGATGGGAGCGGAGCCGTGCCCGGCGAGTGCCAGCCTGGTCCCCGAGGGCAGGGAGAAAGGCTTTCCTGTGAGTCTCTGTGGGTCTTTAAATCAAAATAGCTGTTGATTCCTCTGGAACTAGAACCACGTGGTCCAGGAGCCAGGACGCCCACCTGCTGTGCGGGCTGTGTCTTCCTGGATCAGCTCTTGGGGGGGCTGGTTACATCAGGAGGGTGTGTGGTGACCTCTGGAGTCAGAGCTGGGAAGTTTGTTATCTCGCGTGTTTTTTATAGCATCAGCCTGGGGGGGAGAGATCTGCCCTCCCGAGGAGGAGGAAGCAAGACCAGCCTCAGAGAACGGTCTGTGTCTCAGCCAAGAGAGTAGATCCCCGCGGGGTGAGGACCCGGCACGGAGCGCTGGGACTTGCTGCTCTGGAGCTCGCTGCTCTGGGGAGTCGGGCAAATAGAGGTTCCCGGGGACCAGCTCTTGGGATCGCCTGGGAGCGTTTGGTGGAAAGATCCCCAAAGAGGGTTTGGCTGTTGGAGCTGAATACGGTGCCCCTCCTGCCAGGTGTGTGTGGCGGCCAGGATGAAGCTGAAGAAGCAGGTGACGGTGTGTGGGGCCGCGGTCTTCTGCGTGGCCGTCTTCTCGCTCTACCTCATGCTGGACCGAGTGCAGCACGACCCCGCCCGGCACCAGAATGGCGGGAACTTCCCCCGGGTGAGTCAGGCCTGGCGGCTGAGGTCTTCACGCACAAACCGTCAGGGCTCAGCGCCCAGCTGGAGGGTCATGTCAGCCCAGGACAAGAACACTCCTTCCCCCTGGGCAGCTTTTCTTTTTTTTTTAAAAAAAAATATATTTTTATTGATTTCAGAGAGGGAGAGAGAGAGAGAAACATCGATGATGAGAGAGAGTCATCAATTAGCTGCCTCCTGGCACGGCCCCTCCAGGGATCAAGCCCGCAACCCAGGCATGTGCCCTTGACCGGAATCCAACCCAGGACCCTTCAGTCCACAGGCTGATGCTCTATCCATTGAGCCAAACCAGCCAGGGCTGGACAGCTTTTCTTTAACCCGGAAGGAGGAGGGGGAAATGGCATGATGGACTGTTGCTCTGTCTTGGGAATTCTTTTTTTTTTTTTAATATATTTTTATTGATTTCAGAGAGGGAGAGAGAGAGAGAAACTTCAATGATGAGAGAGAATCACTGATCGGCTGCCTCCTGCACACCCCACACTGAGGATCGAGCCCGCAACCTGGGCATGTGCCCTTGACCGGCATCAAACCCGGGACCTTGCAAACCGCAGGCCAACGCTCTATCCACTGAGCCAAACCGGCCAGGGCTGTCTCGGGAATTCTTGGCAGATATTGCTAATGGATTGCACCGTGCGTTCCCAGGGGGCCCGGATGCAGTCCTTGTGGGCACACAGGCGGCGCCGGGTGGAGAATAGGCATGTGAGGTGAAACCTCGGCCTCCTGGAGCTAGAGGCGCGAGGGTGCTCCCAGCCCAAGTGGGTCGCAGTCCTCCGGAGTGATTGGCGCCTCTTCCCTTATCTGGCCAGAGCCGTTGCCCCGTAGGCTCATGGTTCTGCCTTCCTCGGGGCAGGTCGGGGTCACAGTCCGGCCTCAGGTGCGGGGCCGCAGGCCGAGAGCACCCCCGAGGCGGCAGGAAGGAGCGGAGGGTGATTGCTCTCTGGTTTTCTGGCAGAGCCAAATTTCTGTGCTGCAGAACCGCATCGAGCAGCTGGAGCAGCTGCTGGAGGAGAACCACGAGATCATCAGCCACATCAAGGAGTCTGTGCTGGAGCTGACCGCCAACGCCGAGGGCGCGCCCGCCCTGCTGCCCTACTACACGGCCAACGGCTCCTGGGTGGTGCCGCCGGAGCCCCGGCCCAGCTTCTTCTCCGTCTCCCCCCAAGACTGCCAGTTTGGCCTTCCTGCTCGGCAGATGCTGACGGTGTCGGAGGAGCTGCCCTTTGACAACGTGGACGGCGGGGTGTGGAAGCAGGGCTTCGACATCTCCTACGACCCCCACGACTGGGACGCCGAGGACCTGCAGGTGTTCGTGGTGCCGCACTCGCACAACGACCCAGGTGAGGGCCACAGCGCCCCGCAGCCGGGCGTGGAGCGGGCTTGCTTTTTTTAAAATATATTTTTATGGCTCTGGCTGGTTTGGCTCAGTGGATAGAGCAGTGGTTCCCAAACTTATTTGGCCTACCGCCCCCTTTCCAGAAAAAATATTACTCAGCCCCTGGAAATTAATTTTTTTTTTAATTTTAATAGCCAAGCAAACGCAGACCAGACTCTGGGTCTGACCCTGAAATGAAGACCCACCTTCGTGGAGAGAAGCACTAGCTTCCTTGGACATTCAAAAGAAACAAGAACTTTGGGACCCTGCATACAGCTGCACTTACCTCAGTCGCTCAGACAAAACACCAGCAGAGAAAATGTGTTACCCATAGAGGCCTTCCTAAGCCCACACTTTGTCACCCGTCCTCTCTGGGAAAGAGAGAGAAAGAAGAAACATCGATCTGTTCCATTTATTCCACTTATTCATGCATTCAGTGGTTGATTCTCTTTTTTTAAAATATATTTTTATTGATTTCAGAGAGGAAGGGAGAGGGAAAGAGAGAGAGAAACATCAATGAGGAGAGAGAATCACTGATTGGTTGCCTCCTACACACCCCACACTGGGAATCAAGCCTGTAACTGGAGTATGTGCCCTGACCAGAAATTGAACCGTGATTTCCTGGTTCAAAGGTCAATACTCAACCACTGAGCCATGCTGGCCAGCTAAAGGTGTTCTATTAATGAACTTTCTTGGGTTCCTTAAGGAAACTCAGTTTATAATATATTTTATAATTATAACACTTTCATAAAAATATTAGTTTTTAATTTTCATTTCTATAATAGTCTGCTACTATTATATTGGCTTCATATACAGTGGGGCCTTGACTTACGATTTTAATTCATTCCGTGACGGAGCTCGTAACTCAAATTACTCGTATGTCAAATCAAAAAGTGAACGAGTGAGACACGTGATGCTGGGCTGATGTTGTGGCGTTCACTGTGACGTTCGCTGCGCCAACTAGCGGTGGGGTATCTGAAGCTGGCTCGTAACCCGAATTTTAGCTCGCAACTCAAAGCAAAAAATCGGCCGAGAGACGGCTCGTATCTCGAAAAACTCGTTAGTCGGGACACTCGTAAGTCAAGGCCCCACTGTATATATGTGTGTATATGTGTGTGTGTGTGTGTATATATATATATATTTCAGAGAGGAAGGGAGAGAGAGAGATAGAAACATCAGTGATGAGAGAGAATAACGGATTGGCTGCCTCCTGCACGGCCCCAACTGGGGATCGAGCCCGCAACCCCGGGGGCAGATGCCCTGACCAGGAACCGAACCGTGACCTCCTGGTTCATAGGTCGACACTGAACCACTGAGCCACACCAGCCGGGCTCAGCGGGCCCTCTGGTGGCCAGGGTAAGGGAGAGTCAGTCGAAGAAGGTGTGGCGTCCTCAGGGGACCCTGTGTTGCTCCCCAGGCTGGATCAAGACCTTTGACAAGTACTACGCGGAGCAGACCCAGCACATCCTCAACAGCATGGTGACCAAGCTGCAGGAGGACCCCCGGCGCCGCTTCCTCTGGGCCGAAGTCTCCTTCTTCGCCAAGTGGTGGGACAACATCAGCGCCCAGAAGAGAGCGGCCGTCCGGAGGCCAGTGGCTGTCGGGAGGCGAGGGAGGGCCGTCCTCTGGGCCTGGGATGGGTGTGCAGGTCGCGCCCGAAGCTGTGGTCCCACTGTGGCGGGAGGGGCGAGGGGACGCGTGCAGGGGTGAGGCGTGATGGCGGAGGGGCTTAGAATGAGATGGGAGGAACTGGTTCGAGGGTCACTGTGTTAGGAGAGATCGGAGTTCTGTGAGCACAGAGAAGAGAAAGCCAGGAGCCCTGACCGGTTTGGCTCAGTGGATAGAGCGTCGGCCTGCAGACACAAGGGTCCTGGGTTCGATTCCGGTCAAGGGCATGTACCTTCGTTGCGGGCACATCCCCAGTAGGGAGTGTGCAGGGGGCAGCTGAT